TCTGATGCCCAAACGCAGTCTGTTTCATAACATATAGTACTGTTGCCTCTGGGCAATAGCCTTTCAGTGATGAGTTATATCAGGCATGTATATTCTAATAAAGCAATGACACTAAAAACAAATGCCACAATGGATTTCACTATCCTTTTCCTCACCTGTTTCCTCATTTTAAAATGAGGATAAAGCTACTTTTCCTACCACTTCCCAGGGTTATACAGAGAATTAAAACAGATGGAAGTGGAGGTAAAAGCATATTGTCAATGGTAAGGAGCTGCATTTATGGCAGTTATTGTTGTTACCATTACCTTGGCAACTCCAGACTTCTAGACAACTCTCACTTAAAGAATTTGGTTTGGGAGATCTCATCAAGATGGCAGTGTAGGCAGACTAATCTCACCTCCTCCTATAAACACAATCATGTTACAATTGTTCTTGGAAAAATTACCCCAGAGGGGCTGGCCCCGTGGCCGAGTGGTTGAGTTCGCGCGCTCCGCTGCAGGCGGCCCAGTGTTTCGTTGGTTCGAATCCTGGGTGCGGACATGGCACTGCTCATCAGACCACGCTGAGGCAGCGTCCCACATGCCACAACTAGAAGGACCCACAACGAAATATACAACTATTACCGGGGGGCTTTGGGGAGAAAAAAGGAGAAAAATAAAATCTTTTAAAAAAAAAAAAAAAAGAAAAATTACCCCAGAGAGAGAACTGAAAACTGGACAACAAGAACCCCCACAACAAGGGACAGCTCGGACTGAGGTTGAAGAGGCAGAAATTCCTTCTGGAGAGAAAAAAAAACACTTTCTCGATCAGCAGAGCTTCACAGCCAGCACGGCAGGGACCCCCTAAGGTACATAGCCTTCCCTGGAGAAGTGGGGACCTGAGTTGGGGCACGTTACCACTATAAGTATCCTGCAGACTCAGCACACCTGAGATGAGTGTCATACTATCTGGCTTCACTGGCTACTAACTACAATGGGAAATACCCTCAGAAAAGCTATCAACATTAGTGGAATAATGCCAGCTCTTAAAGGGCCCACACACAAATTCACCCATCTCAGAGAGCAACCTAAAATCACCAGAAAGAAAGGTGCACAGCCCTTTGGTGAAAAGAGACTCCCTTGGTAGGCTCTGGGTGCATCTTGGTGAGAGGTGAGACCCCTACAAAGACTGAGACATTGGTGGCAGCCATTGTTGTGACCTAGTACAAGTGTGCTGACACAGACGCTGGCAGACATCATTGGAGTTCCCCTGGCCTGTTAGCCCAGGGGTCTGCCACATGCACTAGAGTGCAGATTTAATCCAGTTCAGCCAGGGCAGGTGGCCCACACTAGGGACCAGCCCCACACATCAGCAAGCCCTTGGGCAACTTTTCAGCCTGCATAGGTCCTCTACAGGCAGGCAAGTGTGTCCACCTCTGTGGGGTACAGCCTGTGTGAGGACCAGGTTACCTGTGGACCAGGTAAATTTGTGGAGTGGTGGGGGCCTCAGTAGTGGGGAGATTGGGTATGCTCCAGGGGGTTGGGAAGTGTGCACAGGCCAGACTGTGTTGATGGTTTCTGTGGATCTGTGGGGGGTGGGGCCTATGAGTGGCAGAAGACCTGTGCTTCACAAACAGCCACAAAGGGGATTGGCCCCACCTTCCAAAACCTGAAACAATTGGGTGCTCCCATGCCTGGAGCCAACCCCACTCAGCTGCAATCCTAAGAGAGCTGACAACAGACTTGCAGGCATGACACTTAAAGCAACTATAAGCTCCTGAGCCTAGAAAGCAGCTACGCTGATTGCCTACTCATTTAACAGGAAAACTGTAACAGGACTGTGTTATTATACCTTGTAGCCAACAGTGCTGGGGCTCCACAAATCTGATTTACAAACAGCTGGCCGGGGGGAAAGCCCAGACTCCCTGAGTACCTTCAGTAAGAGCAACCCTGCTGCAGCAGAAGGACACAAGTAGCCCACACAGGGGTCACTCCTGGAACATTTGGACTGGTGATGAGATAAGAGCACACTGCTGTGCCTCAAAATGCATCTCTTACATAAGGCCACTTCTCCGAGATCAGGAGACATAGCTGACTCACTTAATACATAGATATAAGCACAGAGAAAGAGTCATAATGAGGAGGCAAAGGAATACATTCCAAGCAAGGGAACGGGACAAAATCCCAGAAAGAGAACTAAATGAAACAGAAATGAGCACTCTACTTAACAAAGAGTTCAAACAAAAAGTCATAAGGATGCTGACAGATATTGGGAGAAGACTGGATAAACACAGTGAGAACGTCAATAAAGAATTGGGAAATATAAAAAAGAACCAATCAGAAATGAAGAATACAATACTGGAATTGAAGAATTCATGAGAGAGACTCAATAGCAGACTACATGGTACAGAAGAACAGATCAGTGAGCTGTATGAAAGACTAGAGGAAATCACCCAAGCCTCACAGATAAAAGAAAAAAGAACAAAGAATAAAAAGAATGAGAACAGTCTAAGGGAACTCTGGGACAACATCATGCACACTAACATTTGTATTGTAGTTGTCCCAGAAGAGAGAGACAAAGCAGCAGAGAATCTATTTGAAGAAAGGATACCTGAAAACTTTTCTAACTTAAGGAAGGAAAAAGACATCAAAATACAGGAAGCACAGAGAGCACCAAAAAACATAAACTCAAGCAGGCCCACACAAAGAAAATTATAATTAAAATGTCCAATATTAAAGATAAAGAGAGAATCCTAAAAGAAGCAAGAGAAAGGCAACAAGTGACATACAAAGGAAAGCCCATAAGGCTATCAGCTGACTTCTCAACCTAAACCCTACAGGCTAGAAGAGAGTGGCACAACTTATTTAAAGTGCTACAAGGAAAAAAACCTGCAGCCAAGAATACTCTGTCCAGAAAGGTTATCATTCAGAAGGGAAGGAGAGAGAGTTTCTTAGACAAGAAAAAACTAAAGGAGTTTACCACCAAGAAACCAGTTCTAGAAAAACTTCTGAAGGGACTTATTTAAGAGGGAAAGAGAAGACCACAAATAGGGATAAGAAAATTATCCAAAAGAAAAGGCAATAAAACCACTGATAAAGGCAAAAATACAGTAAAGGTAGAAAATCAAGCACCTATGAAGATAATATGAAGGTTAAAAGACAAAAGTACTGAAATTACCTATTTCAATGATAAGAAGGTAATGTATACACACACACAAAATAAGAGATCAGATATGATTTTAAAAACACAAAATGTGGGAGGAGGGGAGTAAAAGAGTAGAGCTTTTAAAAAGACATCAAACTAAAGAGACTATCAACTCCGTATAGATTGCTATATATGCAGAATATTATATATGAACCTCATGATAAGCACAAACCAGAAACCTATAATAAATAAACAAATAATTAATAGAAAAAAATCAAACATATTACTAAAGAAAGCCATCAAACCACAAGGGAAGAGAGCAAGAGAAGAACTACTAAAACAACCAGAAACAAAGGGTCACAAAATGGCAATAAATACATATTTATCAACTAAAACAACCAGAAACAAAGGGTAACAAAGTGGCAATAAATACACATTTATCAATAGCTACTTTAAATGTCAATGGACTAAATGGTCCAATCAAATACCATAGGGTGGCCAACTGGATAAAAAAAAACAAGATCCATGTATAATGCTGCATACAAGAGACTCACTTTAGACCTACAGACACAAACTGAAAGTGAAAGGATGGAAAAAGATTATTCCATGCAAATGGCAAAGAAAAGAAAGTGGGGGTAGCAATACTTATATCGGACAAAATAACTTTAAAACAAAAACTGGAACAAGAGACAAAGAATGGCACTAGACAAT